TTTGTTGCAAAATTCAATCAAAGGTGTGCCGTTTATTCTTTTTTTGTTTAACCTGGATTTTTCTGCATCATATTTATTTAACACTTTTCACCATGTTTATTTAAAGTTAAACATGAAATACGGTGGTTATATCCCACTTCTGTAGTTTTCTCCCTCAACTAAGAACCTTGATCCACAATCAGAATCGACCTCCTGATACTGAACAAGTCCCATGCTGTCTCTCAATGGCATGAAAGGAGCTGAACCTCCCACTACAGCTCCACAAAGCTTTGATTTATTCAAATTACGATATACAAATGAGCAATACCTGGAAACATTCAATGGCAACCTTCCTAAATGTTGAAAATATTGCGTTTCTATATTTTCTTTTAAATAACTTCTCTTATTGTCACAAATGTAAATGTTATAAAAAACTGGGAGAAACCAAGAAAAGGAGGAAGCTTTCAGTTCCTTTTCAAAGCCCTGGCTTAGCAGATTAGATTAAGCTCCTGTGGTCCCAGCGTCTCAGGACCCAGGCGTGTGCACCTTTGCCACCAGCAGGCAGACGACATCAGGTCACCTAGAATTCATCCTCCCAATCCCTGGGAAAGAATCAAAATAAACTCTCCTTTGAGATAAGAGGAAGGGTTTTACAGAGATTTTGAAATGAAAAGTGGCTAAGCGAGCAGCCAACAGAGAGGGAGAAACGCAGCCTGTGCCATGGAGCAGGGAGACTCTGCCAAGGCCGGGAAAGCTGCAGCTTTAAGGTGCCAATGTCCCTGACGCCGCCCCCTTCCCCAGCCACATGACACTCGAGGGTAAAGTCAGAGCCCCCCAGCCCCAGACTTCAGAGTGAAGTGTTCTAAGAGAACACTGGGGGGCGGGGGGGTCCTGGTGCCAGCGGTCACCTGCTACATGTCCCGGCCCTGAATCCATGCAACCCCTCACCGTGTTTCTCAGTATCAAAAAATCAGAGCCAGGCATGATGGCACACATCTGTGATCCCTGCACTCTGGGAGGCTGAGGCAGGAGGACCAAAAGTTCAAGCCCAGCCTGGACAATTTAGGGACTTAGCAAGACCCTGTCTCAAAAGTAAAAAGGAAGGGGCGGGATTTAGCTCAGTGGTTCCGGCACCTGCCTCTCAAGGCAAAGGTCCCGAGTTCGATCCCCAGTCCCCAAAAAAAGAGCAAAAAGGACTAGGGCTGTAACTCAGTGTGAATGCCCTGGGTTCAATCCCCAGTACCAAAAAAATAGAATAAAATCAGGAGAAATCCCAGTTTCTGCTAGACCCAGCCTTTCTGCTGATTCCCTTCCCACTCTCATGGAGGCCTCAGGTCCACAGGGATTGCTGCCTGCCCCCGGACACCAGCAGGAGGGTGCACACACACCCTGCCAGGAGGGGCCACCACAAGGTGTGCTATCTCCAAACCGCTGCCCTCCTTCCAGTCGCTTATCTAAAGTTTTCCTTAATGGTAACATACATGGGGAAAGTGGAAATGATTCTGCCTACAGGGAAATCAGATTGATTAAGGAAGGCAAGAAGAGACCCCAGCTCAACCCCAGAATAATATAAAGAAATGCAAAGCAAAGCATGAGGTACCAAGCCACACCCATCTAGTGGGAAAGCATCAGAAAGTCGGCAGAGATGAAGTGCTGGGTGTGACGCAAGGGTCTGAGAGCCCACAGACACTGCGGGCGAGAGAGATCTACTACTGGTGCCGGGTACAAGCACCCATGGCACCAGAAGTCCCACTCCCAGGTGTACACCCCAGACACCCTCTTACTGGCCTCAGGTGTCCCCCAGCAAGGAGCTGCGCGCACATGCAGGCATGGAAATGATGAATATATGTCTCGGGATCGTGCAGAAATTCAGACAATGCATAAAGATGTCGTGATAAACAACTGCATTCTAAAGAAGAATCGCCCACATCGCCATACATGCACACATGCTAACAGATGTCTTTGCACATTCGCATATGCCCATATTTATGATTTATTTATTGGAATACGCTCATACCACTCAGGCCTTTCTGCAACATGCTGCACGCTCCAGTGTATACAATCAGTATCGTATCAGTGTCATCACGTTCAACAGCTGTCAAGGATCACCATCATGTACTTAACAAGTGCCAGTTAGTGGATGTGAGTTGCTTAGACCTTTTCACTGTCAAGCAAACTGCTCTGAATGTCTCTGTCCACCAGTCTTGCTTCCTCTCCTAATCATTAACACATGAAACAAAGAATGTGTACTGCAGTGAAAAAAAAATGCATACAGAACTGCTTGACTATAAGGAACCTAGATTTTCCACTATGATACATAGGAAACTTTAACGATTTTCTTGGGTCCACACTTTTTTTCTGTTGTCTGGCAAAGTGACTCCTTCAAGGAAAACAGAAAAACAAACAGGCTGGATCCCAGCTTAATAAGCAATAATCCACTACTCTTCCCTCCTGTTTGCACAGTAAAGAGGATGAATGGGTAACAACGAAACGCCCACCTCCCAGGTGACCTCCCATCAGCTGTGCACCTAGTCACACAGGACATTTTTAAGACATCAGCAATGTGAAATGCTTGGGAGTTCAACATTCTTTTGCTAAAAATATCTTTATTAAATGCCAGCCTGTGCCTGGAACCACAGGAGGTGTTACAGAGACATGAAAGATTAAGGCTCAGCCCTGTCGTCAGGAGCCCACAGCCTGGCAAGGCCAAAGGACGAGTTCAGAGACACTCTGCACTTCCAGCAGGAAATTTAAAAACTGTGTGCTTAGGAGCTCAGAGAGTCCAGGCTGGGGAGGAAACCTGGGAGGGCACACCGCGATGAGCTAGAGATGCGTGGTCTCGTGGTGGAGGGGAATCCAGGCAAAAGTCAGAGTGCCACGGGCTGCCCCAGGCACGAAGTGACTCTGGAGGGTCTCTGGGAGTCTAGCGGGACTGGAGGAGTGGGGCGGGCCTGGGGCAGAGCCGCTATGGGAACTGGAGAGGGAAGCAAGACCCTGGTCACTAAGAGACAGCCTTTCCTGCATGCCTAGGAGTTTGTACGGGGAACATGGAGGCACAGGAAAACAAGACCAGGAGCCCAGCAGAAGAGCAAGGAGGAGGTGGAGAGGGTGAGGACAGAAGCAGGAACCCCAGGCTACAGGAGGTTGCTGTGGTTCCGCAGAGACGAGGGAGGATGCACCCAAGCAGAAGCCGCTCCAGGTGGACAGCTTCAGTAGGCAGAGGTGGCTTGGGGAGGAGTGAGATGGTCTCAGGGAGCCTTGGGTATCGGAACGGCCAGGACTCAAGGCCTAGGGAGCTGGGGATCGAGCAGGTCAGGACACTCTGCCAACAGAGCATGCCTTCAGGGAGCCTGACAAACCACACCGAAGAGGAACGTGAGACAGGAGCAGCCACAGTGCAGACCAGCAAGGAGCAGTCGGTGCTGGCCCCGGCCTTGGCCATCAGCCTTGTGGAGTGCGCTGAGAGCTGATGAGGCTGTTTGCTCTCTGGGGTGCAGCCTGGGACTGGGTGCCACTGAGGCCCTGCCCAGCTGTCAAATGCTACAAGTTCCTGTCTAAATCTGAATCCAGGGTGGCAGGTGTCTACCTGGGGACTCACCCTGACAAGAACACCTTCTTTCTGGAAAGAGAGGCAGAGAGGAGGCAAAGTCTCGCTCTTTCTCCACCCCACACCCCACACCCTGACTAACAAGGACTCTCCCTTCTGGCTGCTCAAACACGAGGCTCCATGCCCTCACATCTGGCCGAGTGCTGCCTTCTCTTCTCCCCCACTCCTGGGTAATAAAGAGCAGACGGGAAAAATATTTCAAATACCTCCTTTAAAAAGTACACAGCCTTGTGGGCACAGCCTATTTTGAGCTAAAAGTTTCAGCCCTCCAGGTTCAGAGCTGCAGCAGGCCCCAGAGTACTCCCAGTGCACAATCAGGAAGTCAGGCAGCGACAATGGTCCCCTGCTGAAGGCCGGGTCCCCCTCAAGAACAGCACAAGGATGAACTGGTGTTCCACCCTGCAGGGCTCTGGGCTGAGTTCGGGAGCTGGGACGTAAACACAGCAACCCACTACTGCGAAGTAAAGGTTGCGCTGGAGGAGGCACAAGGGCAGGGCTCGGGCAGCAGAAAGGAAAGGGCTGCAGCCAGGCATGGGCGGCCGTGTCAGGCTTGGAAGATGCAGAGGAATGGGGCCAGCGGTGGGAAGGCTCAGCTCGGGCCAGCACCATGGAGCACAAGGACAGGAGCGACAGATGTGAGCCGAGGCTCAAAGGGCTGCAAGGTGGGCTGGGGACAGTTCGGAAGGCCCGGAATGCCACACTTAGGTAGCTCCATGCCCAGGCAGTGGCTACAAAGAGCCACTGAAGTTTGTAAGCAAAAGATCAAGGACAGCGGGAAGGGAGCCTCTCCGGGCCCTGGGAACGCTCCTCAGGGCAGCCTCGTCAGTAAGGGCCCAAGAGCCGTCAGAACCAGCCCTCCATGGATAGTCGCTGAGGCCACCAAAGGTCACCAGCATCCTGAAGGCGGGCACCGCACCGACGCCAGGCGTCAACTGGAGTCCTAGGGCCTCCCCCACACCAGAAGGAGAAAAAAGAAAAACGCAGATGGGGTGGGAAGGAGCTGCAGATGAAGTGGGGAGAAAGGCAGCAAGATTCAACTTCAGCAAATCTGCATTCAATTCCTGCCTCCACCCCTGAGTTTACTTGGATCAGTTATCTTTCCTCCCTGGAAATATTTTCCTCATTTATGAAACGGATATAAAATAAATCCCGTGGAAGGCAGTGAGAGTTCAGAGTGCCTCTTAGTGTTAAGCATTAGCAGAGAGTTAAACGGAAACCAGTATGTGTGATACACTGTATATCCTTAAAGGAAGGGGAAAGAATTCCTCAAATGTGCAGCGGGAGAGACCACGCAAGCGCTCCCGCCCTCCTGAGCCCGACCCTCCGGGCAGGACTGAAAGGTGCAGGGCGGCAGGGGCGCCCCAAGCCCCCTGCCCGGGCACCTGAGGCGACGGTGGCGCAGGCGCGGACCCACCTGAAGACGCGCAGCAGCAGGCAGGCGATGAGCAGCGCGCTGAAGGCGCACGCCACGACCACGGCTGCCTTCAGCGTGGGCAGGTCGCGGAGCAGGGTGGACAGGCGGGTCACCAAGGCGTCGCCGCTGCTGTTGGACACGCCGCCGCCGCCCGCCGCCCCGGACCCCAACCAGGTGGCGTTCGCGGGCC